ACAGCAGCACTAAAGCCGCAGCCGCGATACTTCAAGGACAGACCCGAGTGGTGCTAAGCTACTGATGTGTAGCCTATAACCAAGTCATTTGCATTCACGGTCTACAACAGCAACCCTACTCTGGGAAGCCGAGAGATTGAATTTGACATTTAAACCTGTCCAAGGTGATAGCTACTCAGTTTGTAAATGGTTGACACTGGCAGGCATTCATTCTGAATCAATGGTTGGATTCTTTAGTACCTGCTGGAGTGATCAATACTCCCCTCCATTAATGGCTTTTGAATGGGTTCTTAGTGGTAAGGCATAAGAAGATGCACTAATTAACCAGGACGGTATAGGTGGTTAAATTCACTCCAGTTGTGACCCCCGTCATCTCCTCATTATTATCATCTCAATAAATAAGCTTTACTGCTGTGGTTGCCTCTCGACAGCACAAAGAAACGCAGAGTTAGCTTCTCCTTAATGCAGTCACGTGGTGCTGATGTATCTTTCTCTCAGGTGTTTATCTGACGCCTTCTATTGTCGTACGTAATGTAAAAATCGACAAAGTCGTCAGAGGTTGGACTGACCTTTCAGCCACCTCTCGGCTCATACAGTGAGGCTGATACCTGCTTGGCTTGTTTTTTCTTGTTTTTTTTTTGTTTTTTTTAAGCAGAATAATGGCAATAAATGAAATAGCTGACGTTGAACACTTCGACCGTCAGTGTGACTTTTTCCCAGACGTACAAAGCATCTGTAATTCCTCGTCCGCTTTTGTTCTGCCTGTCTTTTTTTTTGTCTCGGACTCCTTTATTCCACACCACCTTCATTGCCTGTCGTCCACCTGATATTTCCCCCTTTTTATCTCCTCTCCGTCGTGCCTTTCTCTTCCTTACCTTTATCCTTCATTCTTAATCCCTTACACTTTTTCCCACTACCTCTTCCTTGTCTCCTCTTTACAAAATCTATTCCAACCTTTTCACACTGCCCCCCCCCCCCCCTCCCCCCCCCCCCCCCCCCCCCTGACCCCCTCCTCTCTCTCTCTCACCCCCGCAGGCGGTATGAGGTGTATCCTGTGTGTGCAGACCTGCAGGGCCAGATCCTCACGTGCTACAAAGAGAACGTTGGAAAAACCCTTCATTGCTCCAACATAGCGGCGCTTTACCTACAGTGTGTCAACAATGCCAAACAGGTGGGTGTTTACTAACCCAAGGCTGTGTCTCTTTTATCGCCCTCTGTATCTCACATAAACATAATCTGATATGCTTGTGTCTTTACCAAAGCAATGTTGTGTTCATCCGTGTCACACGTTTGAGAGTGATACAAAATAACCTCAACTGTTTAACCACACTTTTCAGGTTCATATGAAACAATATCGTTGAACTTGTGTTGTACAGTAATAATGAATCATGTGACTTTTAATTAAAGGCATGAGACAGTAAGTAGAAAAACAATAATTTATAATGCATATAAGTAGTAACAAAAAATATCTTCAGATTAAAGTTCAATTTGTTGTGTATGAAGCCCAAATAGGTTTTAAAGACAGTTAGGAGCTGCAGGCTGCAGAAAGAGGAGACGATAAAAGACGAGTTTACACCTACACATTAAAGTCAGAATAAAAGTAAGTATAAAAGTCGAACAAACAACAACTCACCTCAGTGTCAAGAGCAACACACTGTAGTTGTTCATACAGGAAATATATATTATAATTATTATTTTGCTATTTCTTTGCTTTACTGTCAATTTCACGTAACTAACTACATTTTTAACTTTTACATGACTAAAAAACTGTTTTTATGCTAAATATAACATAAGTTTACAACCCCATTTAATAGTTACCTGCATTTTTAAATTAGGTCACATAAAAAAGGCACAATTTGTTATATTGTGTTAGAAGTAAAAGTGTTAGAAGAACTGTTAGTAGAAATAACTGTTCCAAACCGGACCTTTTCTGCTCTCTTATACTTATTTCACTGCTTTTTTGTGTGTGACAGATTTACTGGATTAACAGTCAAATATATAAAAATAGTAGTTTATATCCAGACAGGAATACTTAAAACATTTATCTGAGTGTAAAACATTTTCAGCATAATGTTTTTTCTCACTTCTTTCAAGAATGATAATACATGAGTACATAATAATCCTGTAGTGTAGCTTTCACTTGTATTACAAAGTGGCCCTAGGTCAGCATTACCTACGGTCTTTGTAACTGGCTTCACAGATGTGTGTGTGTGTGTGTCTGTGATAGCTACAGGAGGACAGACAGACCCCTTTTTGAATGTCTAAATAAAACACACACACACACACACACAGTCTGGCGTCCATTTACATGCAGCAGCTCTGTGCTTTTAGAAAGGAAAATATAATTTCCACCAGGACACTGGCGCCTGAGTACAGATCACTCTCCTTCCCGCTACGACCAGCGGTGACTAAATGGTACATTTCCATAATACCTGCTGACACCGGTGTCCCCTGACTCGGTGTTTGTTCGTCCAAAGGAGTGCTTGCTGCTAGTTAGAGGCCACTGTCCTCTCCCCTCTGCTGTCAAGAACAAATGTTTTTTTTTCTTTCTTTTTTTTTCTTGCCATCGTCACACACCGTCTCATGTCACTCAACCTGATATTAACTTCATTCCCCTCAACCCCCTGTGCTATTTCTGCAATATGTAACTTCCATCACCCTTAAAAAGGCTCAATTTACATTCATAGAGCTTTTATATTAGATTTTTCTTCCAAAGAATTGCATTGTTTCTTTTTTTTCTGAAATGAGGAAAAAGCTGATTTTCCTGTCTCTTACTCACTCTCCTGGGGATTGGTATTAGATCTAAAACTCAGATGCAGGCATATTTTAAAGCTATACATTATGCAAATTGTGGCGATGTTTTATTCATCGTACATGCGCGTGTACGTGAGTGTGTGCACACGCGCACGGCTGCCTTTAAGTGAAACTACCTGTAGCCTCGTCAGGATTCCAGGCGGGTAGTTGTCGTAGTCAGGATGCAGCCATGATCTTGTAAATTGTTTGGGAGCCGTCCTGAGACGGTATGCTAATCCACTTGTGTTTATCACCCCGCAGCAATCACTGCGGCGCTGCTGTTCATCTGTGCTTATCTAAGACTCGCTTTTTAAAATCATTAGGTGAAGAAGAAACAGTTGTGTGATAAGGCTTTAAAAGAAAAAAATATTGTGACGAATTACACAGCTGACAAAAGGAGGGGGCTGGGGAGGTGGAGGGGAGGAGTTGATATGAGATGATGCAGCTTCTGGATTAGGATGTTTACCTGGTGTTATCCTGGCCTAGCAGGACGCTGCAGTACGGACATGTCCACGGTCATGACTTTGACCTCTGAAGGTTAGAAGACGCTCGTCCTTCTGTTTGAAGCCTTAAACCTAAAAATATTTAGACTACTTCTGTTTGAAGCCTTAAACCTAAAAAATATTTAGACTAAATATTTAAGCTGTAGACAGAACTGACAGATCAGATAGGAGTGCACGTTAGAGCTAGACGTGACAGGCAACTGTTTTAGGATCAGTTTAGGCTGAAGAACTGGTACACAACAGTCCCTGGATCACTGTCCAGTTGTCAGATTTGAGGACACTTGGGAGAAATCAGAAAAAAATTCCTCCTGGGGAAGGTCGGTGCAGGGTTTTTCATTTACAAAATTTCAACCAAAACATTTAAATGTACAAAATAAACATGTTTTTCTCACCTCAAAAACATTACTGGCAAATTATAAACACAATTCAGCTTGGGGCACTATTTTTATATTTTATTTTACCTTGCTTTCACAAAATATTTAGCTGAAATGTGAACAGCAAATGCTTCTAGACGCACAAGTCATGTATTGTGGATTACCTGCTGTTAATCTGTGGAGAGTGTTGCATTCATGGTCTGTTCTACTGAAGACTTTTTTGACATTCTTACTATTTGTAATTCTCTTCGTTTCTCTCAGGACAACAGACACTATTTGAATGGGCAGTGATTATTTTTGTAATATTTAACACAAAGGCATTAATCTATAGTTGTCTGGATTTGTCCAGATTATTTTTAACTCGTCAAAGAAAATATTTTTGGAAATTACAAAAAATTATAAAATTAATGGGCTGCCCAAAATAAATATTTCACACGATTTTCAAATTTGTTCATTTGCAGTCAACATAGCTTGGTGAACCTTCCAGTGCTGTTCAGTCACTTAGCATCAACTTGCTAACAGTAAACAGACAAGGATTTCTGATCACTGTTTGAGAGAACTGGAAAAACCTGAGATGCTAATCCACCCGATCCCATCGACAGCTTTATCTCTAACTTTCACAAACTCCTTTATGTGTCGCCCTGAATATCGAGCTCAGCAGACGCCGACGTGTTGTCACTGATAATTAAAGTCCTTATTGCCACCATCAGTGATAACATTTAGACCTGCCCTCCTTCCCTTCCTTCACCTCCTCTGACTCCTCACCATCCTTCCATCACTATCTCTTCATCCCTCGTCACATTTCTAATGCATAGGCCACTTAACAGGTCCAGATAGGACAGAGGAAGAAAGGACAGATAAAGTCGCTTTTCTTTTTTCCCTCTATGAATAAGAGTTTATCACAGGGGCCCATCTCTCCATCCACTGCCCGCCTCCTCATTCCATATTCTGGCTGCATGGTCGGCTCTCGCTCCACATCTTCTCCGCTTCATTTTTTTTTTGTTTAGCCCTGCAGCATCTTCATTTTACCCCCGAACGACCGAATGGCTGCTTTTTTGTAGTTTTAGAAGTTAAGTTTAAAAGTATCTGAAGATGAGTTTATGAAGCTGAAATAACAACTGAAACACCAACTTTGAAATAAAGTACCTTATAACCAATATTCCATTTTCTATAACAATCACCTTTGATATATACAGCATTACATTTTAGGAAATATGTTATTGTCTCCAAAACCCTCCAGCTCAGTTTCTGAAGAACGTTTCTGGAAGTTTACCTGAAATGTTCTGATCCTTCTCAAGCTTTATTTACAAGACTCTTAATAATTATGAAGTGCATCAGATGTTCATTCTTCTAACTATTCCGTCTCGGGATTTCTCAGCGTTTTGTGTCTGTCACTCAACCCTTTCCTCAGACAGCAAGGCATCAGCTGCAGTCGACCGCTTAAAATGGTTATCGACAGAAAGAGCCAAGGATTTGCGGTGGCACTCATCACTAACATGAAATCCACTGCCCTCTGGTCCTTTCTCCACTCTACAAAAACACTTTCATGTCTCTATATTCTGTGTTTTTTGTCCTCTCAGACCTTCCTGTCTCTGTCTCCTTTTTTGACGTTATGTATCAAATCTGTTTTTGTCTGCAGAATAAGCTGAGAACGGGGGGTTAAGTACAAAGAAGGAAGAGGAGTGAGAGAAGAGTTTATTGTGTGGGATTACTGATAATTGACCAACTGACAGACAGAGCAAACTGCAGCTCAGGAGGAGCAGGAGAAGAAGGAGGAGGAGGAGGAGGAATGAATCAGCACCAACACACAAACCTCAAATCCTATCCTTCCTCCGCTCTTTAAAACCGTTTTTATCTCCCCTGTGAGAATAACAGAGACTCGGTGATGCCGTCCAGCACCGACAGGATTCAAAGGGCTTGAGCTCTGCTCGCCAAAGGGACAAAGACGAACCAGAACCACCACAAAACCCCGTCTGGAAATCCAGCCTTCCATTCTGAGTCACCCACGACCATCTTTAGGAAAAGAAAAATCTATTTTTTGCAAAAGTGAAGTCAGTCTGTATTTGTTATTCATTTGTTTTCCAGCTCCTAAATCATCCATTGAACCTGAGACGATGTTGCGTTTTCACTCAGACCCCGAGACTTGTGACGATGTCTGATCAGAGAAATAATTAAAAATAAATTAAACGAAGAAAAAAAAAAGTGTTGTTGAACTTTTCCTTAATAAATATTCACTGGCTTCTGTTTCTCTCAAGTGTGAGATTGTCTGTGTTTTTTATGCTAATTATAGGAAGCCTTGTGTATCTTTGATGGTGTGCAACTCTAATGTTGTGACAGTGACATTTTCCCAGACTGACTGAATAAACCCAGGAGAAAGTGGAACGGAGCAGCGAAGAAATATTTGTCCTAGAAGTTTTCTCTCTCCATATATTTCTTAATGCTCTGTACTTGCTTTACTTTATCTCACTGCTTCTCTTCTTTCCCTTATCTACTTCTTTCTTCCTCTCTCCCTTTCTTTTCTCCCTTCTCTCTCTCTCTCTCCCTCTTTCTTTCTGGAGTGTCTGCTCTGCGGCTCAGCCTCCCAGGCTAATGTAGCCTTGGATGAGAGACGGCTTCTCCACGCTGTCTGCTCTCTGGGTCAGGCTTAACAGAAGATACAGACGCTGCTTGTATGTGTGTGTGTGTGTATATAGTTTGATAGTGTGTGGGTGGAGTAGCAGTGCAGCAGATCCACACATTTAATGTCTCTGTGTGTGTGTGTGTCCATCTATGGACATTTGACTCCTCCACCTCTGAATTCTAGAGAGCATCTGGGTTTGATGTAGACGCAGATGACCGCAGATGAGACTTTATCTTAATGCTTTCTCAGGATCATATAGGTGTAGGTTAGTGTTGCATATTGTTATGATTTATATTGTATTTCAACACTTTTTAAAATTTATTTTTGGTGTTTTCGCCTCTCCTCTCTCTGTCCAGCACCCCTGAATCTGGACGAGTGATTAAACAGTGATTTCCGTTTGTAATTAGATCATGTTTCCTGTAAAATAATAAAAGGCATAAAAGAATGGTGAGGTCAGTATACCGAGCTTACCGTCCCTCCTGATTTGACCTCAACAGCATTTTAACATAATGTAAATCTTTGATAAAAGGCTCCACTGCAGCAAAACCCTGTCCAGAAACTACAGAGTCACCTTCTCTCTTCTAACCACTTGATAAAGCAGACCATTTGATGTTGTCTCTGTTTTCTCACTGTCAGACTGAGCTCTATCAGGCCTCACGTTACATGTTAAGGCTAATTAACATTTAACAAATGTTGTAAACTAGTATGTTTTAGGAAGTAACGTTGAAGCACTGCTGGAACACAAAGGTATGAAATGATCATTAAACTACTAACCTATTGAAAAATCTGTCAAAATGAATTGAAAATAAGTTTTAAATTAATCAAACTAAGCCTAAAAAACTTGCTATAACTGTAGCTTAGCCTTATGTAGCTTAGCTTGATAAAAAGCTTTAGCATTTACACATTAGAAAAACTACAGCAACAGAGACATAAAAAACAGAAGCTACTAAAAAGCTACTAAAAATAAAAAAGCAGTTTTAAAATTAGCTAGAATTGGGTTAATGATTTGAAAGCTAAAAGGCTCTAGCTAAAGTTGAGGCAGAAAACAGCAGTGTTAGCATCAGGTAGAAAAGATATTAGCTAAATAGACAATACAAATATATTAATATATATTATACATTGTATTTATATATATGTGTATAAATATATACTATTTTATGTTATTATATGAATTCACAAAAATATTTTGGAAAATAAAGAAAAGTTAGCCCACAATGAGCTTTATGCTTTTTTTGAGCTTTATGTATTTTATATTCTGTAAAACTGGGTGGTTTTATTTCATTAATTGTAAAGGTTTCAGTACTTTCTTGTGTAAAACAGTAGATGACATCATGACATGTCAATACCACGTCTTTCTCAATTGATATCTCCGATGTGTTAATGCATCGTCTTTTTCCGAGTCTCAGACACATTAAAACCACTTCCCTCAGCGGAAGGAGGTTCTAGTCAACCTAATCACATTACCAGGGTGATATCGGTGTCAGTGTTTTACCAGCACTGTGTAACTCGGTTAACGTCTCTGGTATTGTACACTGTACAGTACGTGTTCTGCATAGTGTGTTGTTCTAGTTTCGCAGGGACATTTAAACAAATACACCTAAACCTTGACGGAGACGCCAGGTGACATTGTGTCTCAGACCAAGATGCACCTGCGCCTCGACATTTTAGTCAGTCTTGAAAAAATAGAGCCGTGTCGTCGAAACAAAACAGAAAACTCAAAGGCTGCATGGGGCGTAGTGAATGTCAACAGTTTTCCTTAGCACGCTGCTAAATTTACACTTCAGTGTCTCCGTGTCTGGACTCACTTAGGTCTGCTTCGACCGACACATTATCTCTGTATCACAAACTAAACTCCAGAGTGTTATAATTGGTAGCACTTACTTTGACCACTATGTGGTGATATGGGACTGATACTATTCCCATATTAACGTTGACTTTCTGGCCGTTAATATATAATATAAGTGAAAGTGACAGCACAGACTTATATCATACAAATTCTGCTGTACTCGTGTCTGCCCACTACTGTCTGTAGCATTATGCTAATTATGCTATGTTCACACGACAGATGCGAGGACAGGACAGGACAGTCCAGATTTAGATCATGTAAAGTTATAGTTTGGTAAAAACATAGCTGATCCCATCAGACATTCCAGGAAAGTCTTTATTAGTTAAATCACAACTAATCGCAACTTATTGCATGCATTATTTTTCCTGACAGATACGTTTGCTCCATGTAACTGTCTTGCTTTTGTTATTATAATTAAAAGCAACAACCAGGTTTACCATACTTACAACTTATGCTAGCACGTTGGAGTTTAGCCTGAGATGCCAAACTACAGAAAAGACTACATGTTCCCTTCAGTTTACGGTTGTCAGGTAACAGTATAATTTCATGCCTTCGTGACTTTCTCATGTTGTCAAGACTTGATGTAGGAATTTCTCTTTCTAGTTCCCTTTTTTTTTTTTTTTGGCTGTATAATGAACGCACAGCTCCTGCTGTTAGTTTAAAGAGTGAGAAACAGTAACAATCTAATTCGGACTTTTGTTTTTACAATTTCAGTTCAATATTGCCTCTAACCTCAGAGGACCGACCGCGGCAGCATGTACACAGCTTGGTTAGATTAAAAAAAAACAGAGTAAATCCTCCACAGTAATGACTAATCACATTTGATTTAATGACCTTTTCTGTAAAATAAAAATAAAAAAACTTTTTCTTTTAAACTTCCCCTCACTCCCTCCCTGGCTCTTACCCATCTGTGCCTCTCTTTACGCCTTTCACTGAGTCGTTATTCTTTCGTTTACATTTACTCTCTCCCTTTTTTGTCCTTTTCTTTTCCCCCCACTGCTCTCCTTCTGCTCTTTTACTTACTTTTTAACTTTTTTTTTTACCTCCTCCCCTCTATCCATCACTCTGCCTAAATCATTGAGGATGCTAAAGAATAGCTCGGCAGCCTGAGGGGTGGATCCGCTGGCAGTGATTGGCCGGGCTCGTTTGCCAATGAGGTGTGAATTCGTCTGCTCTGCTGCTGTAACTCTTCCCCGGTGCTCAGCCTCGCCTTGTTACGCACACACACACACACACACACACAGGCAAAGAGAAAAACACACACACGTTAAAAGAGATATAAGCACTTGACAAATGCTTTCACTCATACGAATTAAATATCACCAGGATGTCTTGTCCCGCCTGGATTTGGGAGCAACACACACACACACAGATTCTGACATTAAGACATGTTCCTGGTTGGCAGCGATGCCAGTGGGGCCCGCGAATGAGAAAAGACTGTCATACACTCCGCTCTAGTAATGGGCAGGCAGATGGCAGCCTGTTCTGTAGCCTCTGCTTAGGCTGATGGCTCTATTCATCAGGCTGCTACACCCTCCTGCAGCCCTGCATCAGGCCACAATTTATAGAGTTTCCTCTCCCCTCACACTTCCCTGCCTCCGCCTTGCCTTTCTCTTTCCTTTCTTATTTATTTGTTCCTTTTTGTACTCTTCTCTTATTCGCTCCCAGGGCGTGCTGGTGTCTGTCTGCCTGTCGCCATCAACAACTGCTTTATTCCGGCTGAACTTCTGCTCTGCTCCGGGGCAGAGTGAGTTATTGCTCTGGTCTCAGAGAGAAAGTGCTTCCACCCTTCACCTCCTTTCTATTCTCCTCCTGAAATTTTGTCCTTCCAAAGACATAGGAACGGCTCAGTGCTAGCATTTAGCTGAAGAACTACTGTTTAGTGAAGGTTTTTATACAAATATCAGTACCTAGGTTTAAATTCAGATGGAGATGGAGGTCTTCTGTCAGGACTGAAAAAGCAGAGCCATGGCAGAATCCAACTTTTTTTTTTGGTTATTTTTGTTTTTTAAAATTGGGCAATGTTCCTTTAACCAGTTTGCACATGCTCAACTTAAGATGAAGATCCTCCATCACTGTACTTTCCTTGATTACCATATTGTTTATTTTTGAAGATTGAAAAATCTGATGAAATAAACAGAAACACAGCTCAACAGTTGGCAAAGATTGATAGTTAAATGTTTTAAAGCTGTTTGAGGCACCAGACAGACAAGTCTGAACATGTTTAAGTCGTTTAAACCAGACACCTTTTAACAGTATAACAGCTGAACATCTAGAACCTTTTGACTTTATGGTGTGTATATATGAAGAGAAGAAAGAATTGCAGACAAAAACACTTTTTTTTTTTCATTTTACAGAAAACTGTATCTTTTGTTCCCGCAAATCATAACAGATGAAGCCTCTCTTTTCTTCCCAGAGCTTAGTCTGACCCTGAACCAACGATTTAATTGGTGACAGTTCTGTTATGAACGGAACAAGTGCAGCATGTCACTAAAGATAAGTTTTAATTATGTGTAAATCACAGACGTGTGGCAGTGGCGTGGAAAATCTACAGAGATTAATAAGTATCAGATGGATAAGTGATGGACTTGAACTGAAAAGGAAAAAAAGGAACAAAACAGGAGGAAGAGAAGATGATGTGGAGGAAGGTAGTGAAAAAGAAAACGTGTTTTCCATGTCTGCCTCTGTGGCAGTATAAAAGATTTGTCGCAATTTATTGGTAGTGCTGGAAGTGTGTGTGTGTGTGTGTGTGTCTGTGTGTGTGAAGTGAAGACAGAGGCAGTGAGTG